AGGCTATTGCTAATTAGCAATTTTCTTCTTATTTCATTTCCTCCTTATACCTATTGTTTAATTATAATAATAATAATAATAATAATAATACTCATTTCTTAATTATTATCATTATTAATATAACAAAAAAACGGTTTTTTTTTTAGGAATCTATTCATAGCGAACGATATTTAAAAAAACAAAAAGGAAAAAAAAACTACGAATCCTTTATTATTATTATTATTATTATTTGTTATAAAAATCTTTTTTCCCCTCCCCTCCCTCTCCTCCCCGCCATATTGTTAATAATAATAATAATAATATTTGAATACTTTAAAATTTCAAGAAATGAAACAATGTCGTAACCTTCATTACATCAAGAATAATTATAATTTCAATAATAATAATAATAATTTTTAAACCAAATTATTTTATATGATTATTATTATTATTATTATTACGATGATGATGATGATGATTAATAATTAACAAGAGAAAAATGGGGGGAAAAAAATAAAAGAATGGGAACCGTTTTTACTCGTCGCCATTTTAACAAAAAAAAAGTTAATAATTATTTTAGATAAATTTCGTACCCGAAATGATCCTACATAATTATTATTATTATTATTATTATTATTATTATTATTATTATTATTATTATTATCATTATTATTATTATTATTAATTTTTAAATAAATAAATAAATTTTTTTTGTTGCATTTCTCGCTGACTTTTTCTTTTTTTTTTTTTTTTTTTTCAATTTCAATTTTTTTTTTTTAGCAAACTAAGATACCGAGAAAAATTTAATAGGAATAGAAGAAGATGATTTGCTATTAATAAAAAATTATTAATAATAATAATAATAATAATGATGATAATAATAATAATTAAAATCTATTTTGAAATTTTTTTATTTTTCGGTATCAAATTATTAAAACAAAACAATATCAAATGACGACCATGGTGAATAAATTTTTGTTTTTTTTTTTTTTTTACTTTATTAATAATAAATTTATTTATTAACATTATTAAATAATAAACGTTCGAATTTAATAATAATAATATTATATTAATAACATTTATTTTAACTGAAATTCGAATAATATCAACAACCAAAAAGTTGTGACATTTTCTTGTGTGTACGTACAGAATGTTTTTTCTTTTTTACATTATCCAAAAGTTAATAATAATAATAATGATGATGATGATGATGATGATGATGATATGGTAAAAAAAAAAAGAGGTTTTAAATAATGTAAAAAATATATTATATTTGTCAACCAAAGTTTCGCACATATTCATGACATTTTTTTTTTTTTTTGAATTAAATTCGAATAAAGATCCGTGGAAAATGTTTATTCAACGTAAGAAAAGTAATTTTACATATAAGTTAAACATATAGTAAAATAATTTTTTTTTTTTTAAGGTAAAAATAAAAATAGAAATAAGAAAAGCGGATCGGCATAAGTTTAGTAATGTTGTTGATCTCCAGGACGGAAATGAAGTTGATGAACCCTTTAAAAACTACTGCATGTCAGGTCCACAGGTATGGATTGAAATTTATTTATTTATTTTTTTTTCTACATATACCTTTTGCTTATTTCTCATTTATTATGAAATAATAATAATAATTAATTAATTAAATTAAAAAAAATACTAACTAAATGATGATGATAAAAACGAGTACGTATAAGCGAACTATTAATCCCCCCCCCTTTCTCTCTCTCTCTCTCTTTCGCATCGTACCTGTACGTTCGTGTACGTGTCGTCTCTCTCTCTCTCTATAAAAATTTGAATATCATTAACGCCATTTTTTTTTGTTTAAATTTTAGTCAATCCCTCGAGCTTTGAAATTTTAAAAAAGAAAATTCTCACTTTGACGTGTGTATGTAAAAAAAAAATTATTTTTATATCAATCGTGTAATAATAATGATAACAAGTTCAACGAAATACCCTCGTATGATAATATTAATAATAATAATAATAATAATAATAATAATAATAATAATAATAATAATAATAAATGTTATACACGCGTTCGTTGTTGTTTTTTTATAATGTGAGCGAGCGTAACAATCCGTACCTGAAATTTGTTAAATGCAATAAATAAACTGGATCTAGTTTTCCGCGAAATTTTTTTTTTATTAATAATAATAATAATAATAATAATAATAATAATAATAATAATAATAATAATAATGATAATAAATAAAGAATTAATGGATTTTTAATGTTTAGCTTTTGTGGAGGGAAAAAAAAAAAAAAAATGGAACTTTTATCGGACCGAACTTTTTTTCACGTTTAATTTTCATATAAAATATCCAGATATTAATTTTTTTTTCGCATAGAAAAAAAAAAAAAATTTATATATTTTAATAATAATAATAATAATAATGATGATGATGATGATGATGATGATAATAATAAGTTTTCGTCCGTCGTTTTATTTATTTAAAAAAAAGAAAAATTTGGATGAATCTAAAGAAATAATTTTAGGGAAAATTATTAAATTATTGGAAGATTCCTCGAGTTTTTCCTTCCCCCCTCCCCCTTCCCCCCAAATCGATTGCATCGATATTAGATAAAAAATTATAAAATGTTTATGAGTGAGGGGTTAAAGGGAGGAGGGGGTAAAAAAATTTGGATTTTACAGGTATTTAGTCGCAATGAAAAAAACGTTGTCGTCGTCGTTGTAGTTGTTGTTAGTTTATTATTATTATTATTATTTCTTTCATCCGAAAATTTTAATAATTTTTCAACTTGACGTTAAAAAAACATAAAACAATACAGAACAAGAAAAACAAGTTGTGTGTGTATGTGTGTGCGCGTGCGTGTGTTTGTTTTAATATTTTTTTTAAAATTTGCAAAAAAAGAAAGAAAATTTTATTGTGTGTGACTGATTTTTTTTTATTATCACGTGGTCATTTTTAAAATAAAAGAAAAAAGGAAATGAATTTTAAATGTTTTTTTTTGTCTTCTGCTTCTTCTCCTGTTGTTGTTGTTGTTTTAAACATTATAATTGTTTAAATAAATTAATTAAATTTTTTTTAACATGGGGACAAATGTCGATTTTTTTTTTTTTTTTTTTGCAAAGAGCACCTTGAACGATTATTTTAAATAAAATAAATTTTTTTTAAGCAATCATCTTTTTTTTTTTTTTTTTTATAAAGTTTGTCACCTGCTTGTCATGACCTGTTTTTTTATTTCTTCTTTGCAAAATTTTAAAATTCAAGTTAAGTTAAAAATTGAAATAATTTTTTTTTTATAATTTTTGCAATTTGCTAGACGACTTATTCAAGGATTTTTATTTATTTATTTTTTTTTTTAATGAAACGAGGTCTTTTATGTTTTTTATCAATCGAAACCTTTTTTTAAAAATATTTAAAACCCCCCTCCCTTCCCTTCCCCTTTTCTCCCTTCTCCCCCCCTTCCCAACAACCCCTCCCCACCCCTCCTCCTCCGTTATTATTTTAAAATAATTTTTTTTTATGTTGATATTAAAGAAAAACATTATAGTTTCACATTACAAAATAAAATATCATTTTTCGCACAAGCCCTTTAATAAATGTACAAGATGATGATGATGATGATGATGATGAGCTTTTCATAATAATAATAATAATAATAATTTTTAATACTGGTTAAAAAAAAAAAAAAAATTTTATTTTTATTTTTTTTTTATTTTTTTGAAGAATTAATTTGAGTTTAAAAAAGAAAAATCAGGTTCTTCTGCATCTTTTTTTTTTTTTTTTTTAAATTGTTTGTTGAATTGGTCATAAGTTTCAAAATTAACGATGTTATAATTATACAGGTTTTTTTTTTTTTGCATAGGTAAAACTTTGATAGAATCAAATGAGGGAGGGGGGGGGGAAATGAAAAGCGGTTTAAGAGTTTAATTCGAGCTGGTTTTTATTTATTTATTTATTTATTTACTTATTTAAATTACCGCACTTTTTTTACTCTATAATATATATTAAAAAACCTTGCTTGCAACGGTCGGTTTTGTTTATTTTAAAAAAAAATAATAATTTTTTTTTTTTTTAATGGAAAAGTCGTTTATGTCGCTTAACTCAAAAGCTGAAATGTGGTGACCTTAGACAAAACGAGAAAAGGTGATTGTACCCTACACAAGAAATAATATATTGATCTTTTAAAATTCTTGTAGTTTTTTTTTAACTCGTTAAATATTAACAACATACACACACACACACACATATCTAGATTGTGTTTATTAATTTTAATTTTGTTTCATAATAAAAATATTTAAATAATTTAACTTTTGGGTTTTTTTTTTTTCCCCCCTTAAAATTAATGATAGTAATAACAACTGAATATTTACAACAAAATTTAATTGTGGAGAGAGGAGAGGGGGAGGGGACGGGGGTCATGAATTTTTTTTTTGGAATTTTACATTAATTAAATTTAAAAGGAAATAACTAAAAAAAAATTATTTATTTTATTATATTTTAAAAAAAGTTTACAATTTTTTTTTTTTTTTTTTTTTTGAAAATTGTGCGTATAATTATAAAAAAAAATTTTTTTATGTTATTCAAATTGAGCGTGCATCAAACAAATTAAATTCGGTTAAATTTAAATTTTTCCCTCCCCTCCTTCCTCTTCCCCCCAAGATTTAAAAGAAAAAAAAATTTTACAATATTGATACACTCAAGTGATTTTAAATAATATTTATTACTACTACTCGTAAAGATAGATAGAAAAAAAAAAAGAATCTCAAGGAATTATTTTTATTTATCGAATGAATATTTAAATACATTTTGAAATTAAATAATATTATGCAATAATCACACTTTTCAGTCCATTATCACATGCTATTGAAAAAAAAAAAAATTTTCTAACAGAAACAACATATTATTATTATTATTATAAATGCTAATTCTCATGTTATTAACATTATAAATGATGAGTTAATAATCGTTTAATAAAAATATTACAAGAACTAAATTATGTTTATAGTGTGTGTAAAATTTTAGTTCAACACATTTAAACAAAAAAATTATTTACTATTCTAAATCGATATATTGCATCAAATTTTCAATTTCTTTAAGGACTTCATCTCGTCTAAGTAATTTTTCCAATTGTTCTTTTTCTAATTTTACTCCTGAATTTTTTTTCTCTTCAATGGCATCAATTTCTCTTAATCTTTTCTTCAAGTTTTTAACTCTTTTGTTAGGATCCACAGAACCATCACTCTTACAAGTTTCATCTTTCTTTTTAGATTTGTTAACTTTATTCGGAGCCGATGCGATTTGTTGTTGATTACCACTGACTTTTGTCGAAGTATTTTTCGATCTTGATGTAACAGTTGTCCAACCGCCATTTTCATCTGATACTTTTTGAACTGATTTAGGCAAGTTGCTGGTACTTGTTAACAAATTGTTTGGCTGAGCTTTCTCAGGTTCTTCTATTATTACCTTATTCAAAGTGTTTCCATTCGATTGTGATTTTTTCTTTTTTTTCTTTTTAGTCGTCGAAACAATATTGCCAGAATTTGTTGTGGTTACTGTATTTTGCTTGGCAAGAGATTTTTTTTGCTCTTTTTCTTTTCTAGCTTGAGCTTCTTTGTAATCTTCTTCTGTAAAGCCGACAGGATACTTCAGTATACTTTTTGCTAACTGTTTACCTTTACTTTCGTACAGTGGAACTTCTTCTTGTGGAATGTATCTTTAAAAAAAGTAAATATGTATTATGATATGCTGAAATGTGAAGAGGAGTTAACCTCATCAAGCACCTATGTAATTCTCACCCATCTTTAACTCTTCTTTGCTTTCGCCAAGTACCGTCCGGTCTCTGTGTAGCAGCAATGAAAGTCAAACCTAAAATTATCATTCGGTAAATTATTTACTTTGCAAAGAGTAAATAAAGCATGGAACATAAATTAGTAAAAATCCTCAAAGTCAAAAGTTAAAAACATGTAATTTGATTAAAAATTTAGAAATTAAAATAAAAAGAAAAGGTTTTTTTTCATCGGGACGAAAAGAATAAAAATAATTTGAATTAAACAATTAATAATACCTTCACTGTTTTTAACATAAGGCGAAGCCATTTTGGATACAAACGTGTCAATAGACTAACCGTAAACTTACATATCTCTAAGATAAAAGTTAAATTATTTTTGAGTTTTTTTATTATTTTCTTATTAATTCTTTGAAAAAAAACTATTTTTAATGTTTATTTAGTTTATAATTTGTTGTGAAAAAAGGTGTATGTTAAGATTAGAGTGATTTTTTTCTTAAATGTATTTCATTTCATTCATTACTTTACTAGAAAGAAATTTTTTTTATTTGCAAAGTGATATAAAAAATTAATAATGATAAAAATATTTAATGAAAGCTTTTGCATTTTCTTCAGAGATTTTATTTTGAAAAATACGTGACATTACTGATATTAAAAACAGGTAATTTTATATTTAATTATTATTTATATATTATTATCGGTCTCGTATATGCATAATTGAAACTTATTTCACAAGTAAAATGTTTTTTTTTATTGATAACATCGTTCACGTGAAACTGAGTATAAAAAAAAAAAATGTATTGATAATTTATTTTAAAAATTTTTATGATAATTTTATTGTTTTTGCTGTTTTAGTATATATTTATAGTACTTAATGTGACTACTGTTTAAATTTCAGTAACTTTTATAGGTTATAGCATGTATTTCATAGAAAAAATAGAAAATTCTTAAAAAAATTCAATTTATTACTTTTAAAATATTTAATAGTCAATATATGTGCATATAAGTATCGTTTAACATATATTTAAAAATTGGCAGTATATTCGTTTTTTTTTTTTTTTTTTTCATAAAAACTCTTAAGAAAATATTTAAAATTTTTCAAAGCAAAACATACAATTTTTTATATATGGCAGGAACATAATCATGCTAACATTAAAAGTTTTTTTTTTATAAGTAAAAAATAATTTTTTTTAAGTATAACATGTAATACATTGAACTGTAAATTAGGCACACAATATTTAATTTGAAGTTCCAGGTGGTCCTTTTCTGTTGCCCTGAGCTCTCTGAGCATTAGCAGCTGCTATCATTTGGACATAATTTCCTACTCCATTGCAATCGCAGGCTCCTGTTGGACCAGGTGGTCCTACAGCTCCTGGTTTTCCTTGAAAAATAAATGAATTTTTTAATATTTGTAAATTTTTACAAATGTGTTTAGTTACATACCAGGTCTTCCAGGTTCTCCTCTGTCTCCTTGTCTTCCTGGTACACCAACACCATCGTTTCCCGGTGGTCCTGGTGGGCCTCTAAGACCCATAGGACCATCTGTTCCGATTCCTTCAGGTCCTCTATCTCCTTTGTCACCTCTTTCTCCTTGAGGTCCTGGTTGACCAGGAGGTCCTGGATGACCAGGTAATCCTGGGAATCCTCTTTCTCCTGGTAACCCTACTCTTCCTGATTCCCCTGCATAAAAATTACTGATTTAGTTTTGTTCCTCAAAAAAGGTAGTATTATTTATTATTCAATTAAAGTAGTACCTTGTGGACCTTGCGGTCCTGGGGGTCCCGGACGACCCTGCCTGCTTTTTCCTGGAGGTCCAGGAGGTCCTTGAAGGGTAGCTGTCAATTCTGTCAATTGGTCTTAAAACCCATTGAAATTAGTAAATTTGTGATTTTCGGTCAATAAATAATTTACAAAATTTAATTAAATACCTCTTAGTACACTTGCACAAATTTCTCTGACTTCTGCTTCACTGAAACTTCTTCCCGGTGCTCCTTGAGGCCCTGGCATACCTGGTTGTCCTCTAGGTCCTGGTGGTCCGGTCAATCCGGGAGGCCCTTCTTTACCGGGTATCCCTGGCACACCAGCTATTCCTTCAGGTCCTCTTTCTCCCGCTGCTCCTCTTTCACCTGGCTGTTTTTATATTTTTTTAATCTTTGAAAATATTCACGCCTTAAACTTAACTTACCGTTCCTGGCATTCCAGGAGGACCTCTTGGTCCTGCTACTCCGGGCGCACCGTTGCCGTCTATGATCGTGTACCCAGGATTCGTAGATGTTGTTTCTCCGGGAAGTCCTGGTTGTCCGGGAGGACCGGGTGGACCTGGGGGTCCTGGAGGACCGATAAATCCTGGTAAACCTGGAGATCCAACCGCTCCAGGTGGACCCTGCGTAATTTTTTTATTGGATATATTCGTTTCGCGTTTTTTTGTTAATTTTTTTTTCAATTAAAATAATTCGTTTTTTATGTGCTTACTGTAAGACCAGTGGGCCCTCTTTTTCCATCCGATCCGGGTAAACCTGGTTCTCCTCTATCTCCTTTAGGTCCTGGAGCTCCATATAATCCATTATTTCCTGGTCTTCCTGGTAGACCTGCTGGGCCTTCCGGTCCTCTCTCACCAGGTTCTCCTTTTTGCCCTGGTAATCCCTGCGATGTATTTATATTACAATGTAGTGAATTCAAATTTGACCAAATTTAAAAATACATATATTTGTGTATTAATTTACCTTTTCTCCCTCGAATCCTTGCAAACCTTCGCTTCCTGGTGGCCCTGGAAGTCCTGGAAGAGATATTCCAGGTTCTCCCTTTTCTCCTTTTTCACCTGGCGCGCCAGGTATTCCTATTACGAAAATACCCGATTATATTTTAATCTTCAAAAGTTACATTCCTTTCAAAGTATTTTAAATTTTTTTTTACCCGGTTGTCCATCTCCTAATCCTGTGAAACTAAGACCGGGCGGTCCGGGTTCTCCTCTTGGTCCCTGAGGACCAGTCAAACCAATCGGCCCCTGAAAAAGTTTTTAATAAATTTAATTTCTTATATTATTTTGTTTAACTTATATGCCAATGAGTAGATTTACTGGTGGTCCTGCTTCTCCTGGAAAACCGGGGGAACCAGCAGGTCCTGTCGGTCCTTCGGTACCAGGTTGTCCATCATAACCGCGTTCACCTTTTTCTCCTGTAAAATTAAATTATAATATATGTATACATGCAATATTGTTTGCAAATAAAATATTCAAAATAATATATATATTACCTTTTTGCCCTGGAACCCCAATTCTACTCTCTGTACTTTCCAACCCTAAACGTGTTCCGACTCCAAAGGTTCGTCCTGGTGGTCCCTTAAAATAAAAATAACATTATAAGACTCTTTAAAATAAAAATAATAAATCCTGGATTAATATTTAATAAAATACATACCGGTGGTCCCTGCTCTCCTTTTTCTCCCTTTTCACCCTGAAAAGTTAAATTTTTATAATAGCATCAAAATTTTTCAAAAATTGTTACATGCATTCAGAAAAAAAAAGATTCAAAATAATTAATTACTTGTGGAAGCAACCTGCTTTCTGCTAAAATACTCATGTCTGGAGGAGGACCTGGAGGCCCGATAGGTCCCTGTAAACAAATCAAAGTTCAAATTTTATCCAGATTTAGTTTTACTGTTTAATGTGGTAATAATTTTAATGCGAATCGCAATTTAATACTGACTTGTGGTCCCGGAGGTCCAGGCATTCCATCTAAACCTGGAGGACCCTGTAATCCTCTAGGTCCTGGAGATCCCTACGTATGAGAAAAAAACAAACTGTGTTATTTCATTTTGTAAAAAAGAAAAATTGTACGTAAAAAAATAATTTGAAATTTTACCACTTTTCCTGGTGGTCCTTCTTTACCGGGGAATCCGGGAAAACCAGGTTCGCCGATAGGTCCGATCGGTCCAATCGGACCTGGAGGTCCCTAAAAAATTTTAATTATTAAGTTACAAATTTTTGCACGTAAAGAAAAAGGAAAATTTTTCACTTACTCTTGTGCCGTTAAATCCTCTTGGTCCAGGTGGACAAACTTGTTCGCAATTTCCAACCAATTGTTTAAAGTCTTTTCTAGTCTGCATCAATCACGTGATCGTTAAAACATTATTTGGAATTCATCATCATAAAAAAAAAAAAAAACATGAGGAATTTCACTTACCGGTAGTTCGTCACAATTTTCTCTTTCCGGTCTTGTTGGATCACAACTTAATACCATCCATTGCAAATCAATCTGTAACGATTTTTTCAATGTTTAGTTTTCTTAGTTATGATAATTGTTTTTACGAAATTATACAAACCGGAAACGTTTGTTGACTGTTCATAACTTTCGATATTGATATATCACCGTTCATGTCAATGGCACCTCTGGGTTCAAGAAGTTCGGTACTTGATTCTTCGCAATCTAGGTACATGGTCAATTGTTGTCTGTTGAGTGAAATATGAAGCTTGTGCCAATTTTTATCAAATATCTAAAACATTAAATTTTTTTTTTGCCTTTGACATCCGCGAAACATCAAACAAAACAAACAATAATAATAATAATAACCTCGGATTTTTGAAGGGCAACAGTTTCCAAAAGTCCTTCGTAATTAGTCATTGAAAATTCAACCGTTTCCCTTCTCGGATTTAACGTGACCATAAATTGCGGACGATTTTGTACATCCGTTAATCTTATTATATTCCAGGGACTTTTTGCTAATTTTTTCGTTCTGAACGTTGTTATAAATGAGAATTGATTTGGTAAACCTAATGGAAATATCGTCCTGGAAAAGAAAAAATGAAAATTTAAATTTTGAATTTATTCCATAAATATTTCATTTTCATTATTATTATTATTATGTAAAAATGTCAACCTTGTAGAAAGTTTCAAATCTGCTTCTTTTTCTAATCTGTAAGCCGTTTGCATTTTATTCGATCCTCGAACTCTGCTAACTCCAGGATATTTAGTTTCCAGTAAATCTAATTTAAATTTTCTTATAAAATCATAAGCTTGTAAATCATCTTCTCCAGGTTTGTAATCACCGCAGGGATCTCCGAGTTCTTCTTCTCCTAATTCATCAGAATTTAATTTTTTTTTTTGTTAAGCTTAGCTTAATGATTAAAAGCAGAAGAAAAATGAAAATGAAAAAAAAGGAGGGAAATTACCTTCTATCGGTCTTCTGCCACTTTCACCGTAAATCACGTTGTAATCCTCGTAATCGAGAGTCGAACCAACTCGTTCATCGAGTTTTCGATTATCTTCTCCAAATTTTCCTCTTTCAGATTCCTGGAGTCCAGCCGAACCATTTATAGCTCCAAGTTCATCCGTTGTCCCGATTTCGAATCTTATGTTGGCGTCTGGAAGTTTTTTACTTTTCGTTTTATCCATTTTATTCGTTTGTTTTTTCTTTTCTTTTGTTATTTTATCATCTTCCGCTGTTTTCTTTTCAATTTTTGTTTCGTTTCCGTTTTTATTCTTTTTATTTATGCTAACGTTTTCCATTTCTAAATTTTTTTTACTTTCTTCTTCTAAAAGACGACGTTTCTCTTCTAAAAGTCTCAATTCGTGTTCTCTTTTTTGCGTTTCTTCAATTTCTTGAGCGAGTCTTCTTTCTTCTTCTTCTTGTTTTAACCTGTATTCTTTTCTTTTTCTTTCTTCTTCTTCTTCTAAAAGTCTTTTTTCTTGAATGATGCTTTCGTTAATGGCTTCGAGTCGTCGTCTTTCTTCGCGAAGTCTTAATTCCGCTTCTTCTCTCGCGATTTTTTCTTGTTCTTCAATTCGTCTCCGTTCTTCCAAAAGTCTAAGTTCGTTTTCCCTTCTCCGATTTTCACTTTCTAATTCTATTCGTCTTCGTTCTTCCAAAAGTCTGAGTTCGTTTTCTCTTCTACGATTTTCATTTTCTATTTCTAACCTTCTTCTTTCTTCGGAAAATCGCGATTCGGTTGCTTTTCTTAGAGCTTCTTCTTCTTCTTGAGCTTGTTTTTTACGAGATTCTTCGATAATTCTCAATTGTTCTTCTCTTATTCGAATTTCCGTTTGCCTTCTCTCTTCTTCTTCCGCTTCGATTCTTTTCCTTTCTTCTAAAAGTCTTTGTTCGTTTTCTTTTCGCCTCGTTTCTTCAATTTCAAAATCGATTCTTCTTCTTTCTTCCAATATTCTAAGTTCTGCTTCTTTTCTTTTCGCTTCTTCAACTGCGGCTTCAGCTCTTCGACGTTCTTCCAAAAGTCTCAATTCTAAATTTTTTCGCCGGATTTCTTCTTCTTCCGCTTCTATCCTCCTTCTTTCTTCCAAAATTCTCAATTCGTTTTCTTTTTTCCTCGCTTCTTCAACTTCTATTTCGGCTCTCCGACGCTCTTCCAAAATTCTTAGCTTATCTTCACGTCTTCGGACTTCTTCCAAACGTATTTCGGCTCTCCTTCGTTCTTCTAATAATCTGTTTTCTATTTCCACGATACGATCTTCGGATTCGACTTGCAATCTTCGTCTTTCTTGCAAAAGTAAAAGTTCATTTTGTATTCTTTTATATTCGGTTTCCGCTTCCGTTCGTCTTCTTTCTTCCAATATTCTTAATTCTTTTATTTCGTTGGCGTTGTTGCTTGTAAAATTCCAATTCCAAACGTTATCATAACTCTCCGTATCGTTATTTATGTAATAAACGTTTTTAACGGTTAAATCTTCGTCTGATTCGTTACTAGAATTTTCTGTTCTGTTCCAAGTGTAAGAATAAACGGTTCGATTTTCCAATGTTTTGTGTTCCGGATCCGAATGTGTGACATTCATGGTTTCTTGGGGGATTATTTGATTCGATGTCTGTATTTCGGTTAAAGTGTTTGTTTCGATTTTAACCGCCGGATAATTTTTTTCGATTTCTTGTACCGTCACGTTGTTTTGAAGGTTCGAATCACCATTTGAAGTCTTGTCTAATTTTTGTTTGTTTCTGAACCGATTCCTCCTTCTGAAACCGTTTCTCAACCCGAATCTCTTTCTGAAAAAAGGCATCGTACCATTTTCTCCAGCGTTGCCTAACCGTTCGACAATATTCACCGTGTAATTCACATGTTGAACAGGTTTCACTTCGACGGTTACTTTTTCATTTATTTCATTTTTCGATTGTTGATTGATTTCAGAGGAAGATTCGACGGTTTCTAAACTGTTGACCGATTCTTTGCTTGTTATCGATAACGAGTTGTTGTTGTTTTCGTATAATGAATGGACGGTTTCTTGTTTTTTGTAAGAATGCGTTTGTTCCGTTTGCGATGAAAAATTTTTAGACGGTGACTCTGTGTCAAATTTTTCAATAAAATTTTCTGATATCGTTGTCACGAATGTGTTTTCTGGTGTCACGGTCGTTTTATAATCCCAGGTATTGCTTTTCGCAGATGTGATTCCTTCCAAAATGGATTCGGTTGTTTTGGAAAAAGTTTTTTCGCTCAACGACAAATCTTTTTTTATACTTTTTTGACTTTCGGTGTCACTTGTGACGTCTTCGGATGTTTCATTTTCCGAATCGTAATTTGAAAAATTATCACTTTTATTTTCTTCTTCGTCTTCTTCGTCATCCGTTTTTCTATTTTCAATTGAATTTTCTTCTAATGAAACATTCGGGGTTTCGTTTATTATTTCTGTCGTTGTTTCTACCAAATCAAATCCATCATCATTTTTTTCCGTGGTACTAGACGAGAATAAAACCGGAATTTGTTTTTCCTCTTCATTTTTTCTGTTTTCCTCCTCTTCTTCTTCTTCTTCATTTTCACTTTCTTTTTTAACCGAAGAATTTTCTTCGCTTTTATCATCGGATTCATTATTTTCATTTTCTTCTTCGTCGTATTCTTCGTTTTTTTCATCGCTGCTTTGCACTTGGGGCGGTTTTATCGAAGTAACGACTTTTTTACTTCCGGTTGAATTTTCTTTTTTTTCTTCATCATCTTCGTTACTTTTTTCTTCTTCGCTACCGTTGTCTTCTTTCGTTTCACCCTTTGACGAACTCACATCTTCATCTTCTTCTTCGTATTCGTTTTCCGATTGATTTTCTTCTTCATCTTCGGTTCCTTCTTCCTCATCTTCGTAATCATCTTCTTCTTGACGTTTACAATCCGTCGAGGGTAGTATTTGTAGGACGAGAATTATTAATACGACGGTTTGACTGAGTCGTTTCCTGTCACGAAAAAAAAAAAAAAAAAAAAGAAGCAAAATATTCGGAATATTCACAACCGGAACCGGAAAAAAAATTAAAAAAAAAACCAAACGAAAAATAAAATTTTACAAAAAAAAAGGCGGTAAATTTAAAAAATAGAAAAAAATAGAAAAAATAGAAAAATTTTATTTACCTCGTAACCAGAGATCTGGTAAACTCCATCATGCGAACCGGCGAACACTGAAGTTGAAGAATAATTTTTTCAACTGAGAAATTAAATCGAGTTCATCCAATCAATGATTTCTTTCCTACCATTCCTCTTGCAATTTATTGTTTTTTTTTTTTTTTTTTTTTTTTTTTCGGTTGTCGTCTTGCTGCAGAATCCCACACACACATATATATATGCGTGTGCGTGAGTGCGTGAGTGCGCGTGTGTATCAGACTCAGTGACGTAGAATTTTTTTAAAAAAAAGTTCACTAGTTGATTAATTACATAAATTACACGTTTTTTAATATTATTATTATTATTATTATTATTAATGACGAAAAATATAAAATTTTTAGATTTTTTTTTTTTTTTAAATAAAAAATAAGTTTACGCCTACCTTTCTCTCTCTCTCCCTCTCTCCTCTCTCTCTTTTTTTGTCTATTAATAAACGAGTTTTAATATTTAAAAAAAAAAAAAAATTTTTTTTAAACTGGGAGTTTTAATATTAATAAAATTATAATTTTTAAATTACTTTATTATTATTATTATCATCATCACCATCATCATCATCATCATCATCATTATTATTATTATTATTATTATTATCACGAGGTGAAACTTTTTTAAAGAAATTTTTTCTGTTTTGTCGTCGGGTGCGTCTCTCTCTTGAACAAAAAAAAACAAAAAAGATTCATTCATTCATTCATTCATGAATTTTTTTTTTGTATTATTTATGAAAGAAAATCATTCACGGATTGATTTCTTTAATAATAATAATAATAATAATAATGAAAAAAATGATAAAAGAAAACGTTTATTTTGAAATTTTCGTTAATTACATTTATACACACATCTTTTTAAGGTATTCACTTAAATAATAACGACGATAATAATAATGATTGTACGAAATATCGTCGGGAATACAAATTTTTCTCTTCCCTTTTTTTTTTAGGGAGCACGAAACCGTTCAGGACGATTCTGAAACAAACACAAAAATTAATTTATAAATTATTTTAATTGGAAAAAAAATTTTTTTTTCTCAAACAGAATCTTCTTAACAATCGATTGACCTCGCAAATTGATTGCCTATAAATAATAATAATAATAATAATAATAATAGAATAAATTTGGTAGACTGGGATTAAACAAAGATTTGGATTTTTTAAAATATAAATTTTGTGTCAAAGACCTTTTAAAAAAAATTTTTTACCTGTTCCATAAATCTTTGTAGATATTTAATAATCATTTTTTCATTATCAGAAAGAACGGTTCTCTTTCTCTCTCTTGTTGTTGTTGTTTCTCTTTTTCTTCGACCTATATTAAATAAATTCATCATCATCATCATCATTATCGTCGTCGTCCGTATTGTTTTAATAAAGGTTTTTTTTTATATGAAAATAATACTTTACCCAATGGTGAACCGGAAATGACTCCGAGTTGTAATAAAATTGGATTCGATACAAAAGCGGCGGCAGCGCCAAGTAAAGCGACTCCAGCCAGTGGTACCAACAAACCCTTTAAAAAAAAAAAAACAAAAACAAAAACAATAACAAAAACGTTCGTTCATTTATTTATTTATTACTAAAAATTCGTTTGGAAACAAAATAAAAAAATAAAAAATAATAATAATAATTTTATACTTTTTTAATAATAATAATAATAATGTTTTTATTTATGTAATTGTATTTTTTAAAAAGAAATGCCTAAAACAACTTTATCTGTGGAAACGACAACAAAATCAGGACAAATACCTCCAGTAGGAGCCACAGGAGCCACAGGAGCAGGAATAACTTACAGACTCTCTGATAATGCTTTCATAAATTCAGGGTGGACATATCGTTCTTCCGTACATCATAAAGTATGTAAACCTTAATTTGTCGTCATCATCGTCATCGTCATCGTCATCGAATTATTATTATTATTATTACTTATTAAAAAATTATATATATATGAATCAGGTAAAACAATTTGTTACGATGAAAGCGAAATTTTCACATCACGTCATTTGTCCGTGGTTTAAAAATCGTAAAAAGGATATTATAGAAAAATATTCTAATGGTAAAACGTTATACGTAGCAAAAAAAGACGGTACGGGAAGAATATATTATCCGAACGGGAAACTCGCGATGAAAATAGAAAAAAGAGGTCATCAAAAATCTCTTACAAAAATATGGATATTTAATTCTGGAGAAATAGAAAGAACTGGAGTCAGGCATCCTCAAAATTTTTGCGCTTTATTCGATTCACTCGGCAACGGTCTCGTTTACGATCATTGCATGAACAAGAAAATAGTTTTTAATCAAACCGAAGGGATATCCTACGTTTTAAGTGGTTTACCATTCAGGTGGAAATGGCACGATTTAAAAATAAAAGTTTACACGGATAAAAAAAAAGAGATATACATGGGTAGAAAGACAAAAATCAAAGATGATTCAATTGAAAAAGCAGTGGTTACAAAAAAGGTATGATATAACGGATTGGGGGAAAATTGTTTGTTTTTTTTTTTTTTTTTTTTTTTGGTCGAAATAAGGTTGTGATGAACGGATGTGTTTATTATACCGTATTCTTCAGAGTTCATCGAAATCCATAGAATCGGAAACGTACAATCCGAACGCTTCGTTAACCCAAGCCGAAATTGATTTTCGTTCCAAAGTCGAAGCCAATAAATATGTCGATACGGGAAAATTAATACCGAAAAAAGTGGCATCCATCAAACCCATAGTCTACACAATAAATCAATACATAAGCCTGAGGATTTTGGATCAATCGAACGTGTCGATAACTTTTTTAGCACAAAATCATTTTGCAAAATTATCAATAGGAACACTATTGAATCCTTGGGAAAAATTACACGTTGATTATTTAGAAACGATTTTTATGAAAGAAAAACATGTTGTTTGTCCATACGAGGATTTACATGCGAGAACGAAAAGTTTGAAAAATTTACAAGATCTTATTTTTCAATTGAAAAAAGATTCGTGTTGTTTAAAACTTAAATGATTCTTATTACTACTACTACTAATAATAATAATGATCGTAATATAATAATTATGATAATAATAATAATAATAATAATAATTTTTTAAATACTTTTATAGCGAGAGCTTTATGATATAATAAAGCTGCGTTGTCGTAATAATCGTATTCCTTATGACGATTGTAATAGAAATTAGGTTCGTTATGATAATTATTTTTTTTATAACCGTCTATGGTCGAAAAATCACCGCCTTCGTAGACGTCGTAACCGTTTTCTTCGTTTCCTAAAACTAAAAAAAATTTCATTTTACTCTGAGGATTCGATACTTTGGAAAATGTCGTGTCAGCAGTTGGTTTTTCGTGTCGTGGTAATTAAGAAACAAAAAAATTACTTACAATAATTTCTATTTATCGATTCGGAAACGGAAACGTCGCCGACATTTTTCATTCCTAGAAATATTTTTTCATTATTTTTACGATTGTTACCGTTTGTCGATGATATGACGATACCTTCCGACGACGGCGACATTTTTATTAAAATAATTATAATCGGAATAAAAAAAAAAAAAAAATATTTTGAATACATTTTTTACACACCACATTCAAAACTGAATTCATTTCCCACACGCCATATTTTTATATACCCCCTTTATTTTTATTTTCACGGGTTTTGATCGTGTGAGTGTGTGCGTGTGCGCGCGTGTGTGTGTGGTTTTTCTGGAAAAACAATGGAGAAATTATTTTGTCAATTGTCGTTATCATCATCATCATCATTGTGTGTACGATGCGTGCTAAATATTAAATTGATTGCATAATTCCTTTTTTTTTTACTTGATGTTCCGCGAGACGATTATTTTAAAAAAGAAAAAAAAATTTTTTTTTTTTTTTTCATTCACTGAATGATTTATTGAATTTTTTTTTTTTTTTAGAGAATGAATTATTATTGCGAGACAAATTTTTTATTAAAAATCCATAAATAGAAATTATTAAAAAATAATGAATTTATTATCATTTAACAACAAATGGGACCTCCAAAAAATTTGTTTCGAACTTTCGTAATCGATGAAATTTGAATTCTTTAATACGCGCCAAAATGAAAGAAAGGGAAAGGAAAATGGCGGAGTTGGAAAAACGGTTGGTTTTTTGGCGCGCGCGCGCGAATTAAAGAATGTTTTCGTTTGAAATTTTTGAGTTCAGACATTGTTCAGACGACATATTCCCCCTTTTTTTTCCTTTTTTTTTTGTTAACATTAATAAAAATTTATCGTTAATTACTGTTAATGAGTTAATTGAAATTTAATTCGAAGTTTAAATTAGAGAATTTAAATCTTTTTATTAAAAAACTAGTAGAGACATGATATTATTTTACAAGGGTCATCCATCTACGATTATTATTATTATTATTATAGGGAAAAAAAAAAACCGAACGTTTCATATATCAAGGATGAATTTAAAAAAAAAAATGAGCAAATAATAATAATTAAATAATAGATTTTTTTAAATTTTTTTTTTGGCGTTCGGTTGGTTGATCGGACGCCATCATTGTCAATGTCGATTGTCAAAATTTTTTATTTTGTTGTTTACGATTTTTTTATTTAATCGAACAATCGAAAATTTGTTTTCGTTTTTTTTTTTAATTGTTTGATCGATAATCGATATGTCAAAGGTTAATCGTTCAGTCATTAATAATCTCATAAAAAAAAAAAAAAAATTTTTTTTTCATTTCGAATTCATCGAACGTGTTGTTTGGTAATAATTTGAGATAGAGAGAGAGAGAAAGTTAACCGGAAGTTACGTTTGAAATAAGATAATAATATTATTATTATTATTATGTTTGTTTCAGAAACCATGAACGGTTTTTTACGTCATCATCGGAAATTCTCCTCCTCCTCCTCCCCTTCTGTTGTACAATTGAAATCTCAAAACGATTGTGTTTCCGCTTCGAAAATTCGCCATTCTTTTATAGGTAAATTTTTTCTTTTTTTTTTTATAATTAAAAAAAGAAAAATTTTTTTATATAAAATTGTTTTCTCTCTCTCTCTCTTTCGGCTTTTCCACGAAGATTTTTTTTGCAAAGAAAATGATCATTTTTTCATTGGTTCTTCTCCCGTTTTCTCCCTACTGGATCCAACTCTTGCTTTTGTCAACGCTGGAATGAATCAATTTAAGGATGTTTTCCTGGGTTTAACACGTCCAGCGGCGACAAAAGTTGCAAATTATCAAAAATGCATTCGTGTAGGTGGAAAACACAACGATTTATCACAAGTCGGAAATGATGGAAGTCATCATTCATTTTTCGAAATGCTTGGAAATTGGTCATTCGGTGATTATTTCAAGGTACGTTTCCGGTGCTGTACGTCTTGTCCTCTCTCTCTCTCTCTACCTTCTCATACCAACGCGTATTTTTCCAGAAAGAAGCTTGTAAAATGTCATGGAATCTTCTTACCGATGTCTACAATTTACAACCGGAAAGACTCTACGTGACGTATTTCGGTGGTGACGAATCTTTAGGTTTGGGACCCGATTTGGAGGTACGAGAAATTTGGCGGGAAATCGGGTTAGTATTTAAAATTTTTTTCGATTTGCTAAGTTTATTTAAAGAAGAGATTTTTTTTTGAAAAAAAAAACGGCGTCGCCTGACCTCCCGGTCAATAGCGACTCTCTATTTAAAAAAAAAAAAACAGGTTCCACCTACCCGAAAAATCTACCTTACTTAAATGGGTTGTAAATTTATTTAAAGCCTAAAGAAATTTTTTATAAAAGATGGTATCTCTCTCTCTCTCTTGCAATGCAATTTTTTCTTTTTTTTTTTAAATGTGTCACTTTTGTCTTGCTTTTAATACATTTATTTGTTAAATTTTACAGGATTAAAGAAAATCACATTTTACCTTTTGGTTCAAAAGATAATTTTTGGGAAATGGGTACCATCGGTCCATGCGGAGTTTGTACCGAAATACATTATGATCATGTTCCAGGAAGAAAAGACGTTGGAAATTTCGTTAACGCTGATAGAGATGACGTCACTGAATTGTGGAACATTGTTTTCATGCAGTACAACAGGTAATTTCATTTACCATTTAATTTTTAAGTTGGCAATCCTGATTTAATTATGGATTGTTTGCAGGAATGAAAATAACGAACTTGTTAAGTTAGGAAAACATTTTGTTGATACGGGTATGGGATTTGAAAGGCTCGTGGCAACACTTCAGGGGAAAACATCAAATTACGACACGGATCTTTTTTTACCTTTATTCGAAGGAATAAGAAAATATTCCAAACATGGCGGATATACCGGAACCTACGACGTACGAGATTCAATAGATTCATCATATAGAATAATAGCTGATCATGGAAGAATGATATCTGTCGCTTTAAGTGATGGAATGTTACCCAATCATCAGTAAGGGGGAAAAACAATAAAAGAAAAGCGAATAATTTGTTATAAAAATGATTTTTTTTTTTTTTATTTAAAATTTTTAGAAATAAAGTTAGAACAATAATAAGAAAAGCGTTGAGAGTATCGAAAAAATCATTTAATTGCGATTCGGGACTTTTGAAAAATGTTACAAATTATGTTGCGGAAACTTTAGAGGATGCATATCCGCAAATAGGAAAACATCTTTCGAAAGTATGTGTTCATGTATGTTCCTTGAAAACGAATGTTCTCGAACGAATAAGTTTGTTTTTTTGTTGTTGTTGGCAGATTCATTTTATAATAGAACAAGAAGAGAAAATATTTAAAGAACAACAAAATGTCGCATTGAAAAAATTTAAAAAATATAAAAATATTTTTCCGAAAATAAAAAACGAGGATATTGAAGATAATCCGAATTTGATTTCCGGTCTTGAATTATTTAAAAAATACATAAAAGATGGTAGAAAAAAATTATTAGATGAAGATGTTTGGATTTTATACGACACGTACGGATTATCTCCGGAAAATACAAAAAAATTATCACAAATTTTGGGTATTACAAATTTTTCAACAATTTCCGTTATAAATAATAATGATAATGAGAAGAGTTATTAATTATAATTTATATTTTTGCCATAAATTTTTTTAATTGATTTTAATTAAAAACTTTTTTTTATGTCTGTCTGACTGTTTGTCTGTCGTCGAAATATATTGATAGCAATAAGAAATCAATTTTGAAATTTTTTATTTTCTTTATTAATTAATAATTAATTAATTATATTAATTTTTTTTAATTATTAATATTTTTTTTTTTTTAGGTCTCGATTTCGATGAGTCTTCCTATGAAAATTATGAAAATAATAAAAAAAAAAACGAAATGAAAAAATTAGAAAAAAAAATATACGATGAAAAACATGAGGGTGACGTCATAGAATCAAAAACGCAACAAAATTTCAATATGGCGGACGACGTCGAACTTACAACAAAAGATTATTTTAAATACGAATATAGAATCGATGGATCGGATAAATATTTATTTTTAAATCAACCGACTTCCGTTTTAGCAATTATTATCAACGGAAAATATCACGATAAAATATCGATAAACGATTTTAACGGTGCGCCATGTTTAAAATAATAAAAACAAGATGGCGGCGGTAAGTTTAAAAACAAAGCAATGCTAACGGTTTTTTTTGTTTTTTTTTTTGTGTTTTTTCGAAACAGGAAATGAAATCGGTTTGGTTTTGGATAAAACGCAATTATTTTCCGCGGAAAAAAATAGAAATTCGGATTTAGGATATTTAATTTTTGATAATAATGATATTTTATTCGATGTGAAAAAAGTTTGTAAATTTGGAAATGGCGTCGTTCATTACGGATCATTTACAAAATATCCAAGGTAAAATTGTTTTAAAAAATTTAATTAATAATTTTATTAATAATAATATTAATTAGTGTTTTTGTCGTTTTAGGAATGCCGAAATGGGGATTCACGACACGGGGATTTTAATATTAAACGAAAATGTGAGATTGAATTTGATGAAAAATCACACGTGTCTTAATTTATTAAAAGGTGGAATTAGGGAAAAATTTCCTTTGACATGTGAAAAAAATTCAATGGTCAATCCTGATAGTTTTACGTTAGATTTAATGGTTTATAAATTTAAATTTGCATTAAACGGTACGAATTAAATAAATAAACAAAAAATTTAAAATGGCGGATTTCAAATTTAATTTTAAAAAATTTCAGACATATTGGATTTGGAAAATTTTGTTAGGAAAATGATAAAAGGAGATGTTAGCGTTAATAGAAAACCTTTAAATCATTTACAATTTTATTATTTATGGGAAAATATTTATTTTAAACCTGGAATTAGTTTGATTGAATCTGAAATTCCTCTCATCGAAATAAATAACGGTTTTACGTTGATAAGGTATTTGAATAAATTTATTTATTTTTTTTATGTATGTATAAATAAATAAAATTATGTACATATATATAGAGAAGTTTGTAATGGAGCACACGTTTTAAGAACGTCTCATTTAGAAGATTTTACAATATTAAAATTGAAAAAAATTTCATATGGAGTTCATAGGATGGAAGGATTAACTGGGATCCATGCGAAACAAATAAGAGAAAATGATTTGAAAATGGATAAAAAATGGAAAATATTAAAAGGACAAATGGAAAAGGATATCGTATGTATTTATTTATGTCGTCGAACGTTAAAAAGACAGGAATAATAATAATAATAATTTTTTTTGTAAGGTTTCTGATAATTTAAAAAAAATAACGGATATTATGGATGAAATAAATTCAATGGAATTGTCATACGTGACCAAATGTAAACTTTTAAACGAAATGAACGTGGAAAAAGGAAAAAAGGAAAAAGAGGGAAAAAGGATTTTAATTGATTATTAATAATTAAAAGGAAAAAAATGAATTTCTTTTTGTTTGGATGCTGTTGAGGAAATAAACAAAAGTCTTTACCTTTTTATTAATATTAAATTAATAAATTTTTTAAATAATAATAATAATAATAATAATAATAATAATAATAGAAACGTGAATTCGTTTTTATTGATTATTTCCCAATATAAATAAATTTTAAAGAGTAAAAAAAAAAAAAAAAAAAAAAAAAAATGTGAAAATTAAAAAAAAAAATTTTTTTTTATTATTTCCTCCCCCTTCTTTTTTTTTGATTATTTTTTTTCTTTTTTTTCCTTTTTTTTGGAAATGCGTGAATTGAGTTTTTATTTAGTTGAGCATGCGCGGGAATGTCCGTTATCACATCCCCCTTGTGAACACCCTCTAAGAGAAAACGACAGTCGGGGGCGCGCCCTCTTAAAAACAACGCAATACAATAAAAAACGTATAATTCCGCTCTTGTTATCACATTTCAACATTTTATCAGGTAAAAAAAAATTTATTTATTTATTTATTTACTTATTAATTATTAACGATGTAAATTTATTTTTTTACTTACATACTTACATATTTATTTAATTAATTAATTATTAATATTATTGCTTTAAATATTAATAATAACAATAATATTAAAAAGTTATGAAACTCAATTTAATTAATTAAAAAAATAATAATAATAATAACAATATGAATTTTATTTATTAACTTATTAATAATGATTTGTGTTTGTTTATTTATTTTATTAATAAATTTACATCAATTAATAATAATAATAATATTAATATCGCGCACATATTTTTCTTTTTTTTTTTTTGATTGATTGATTGATTGTTATTTATTTATTTATTGTTTAATTTATGTGTGTGTGTGTGTGTGTATGTGTGTGCGTGAGAGTGCGTGTGCGACGTGTTTTATCATTACCGATAATATTAATAATAATCATAATAATAATAATATATAAGAGTAAGGTAATGTATAGAGAGGGAGTGAATAAAATGAAAAATTTTTTTTTATTATTTATTATTATTATTAATATTATTATTATTATGATTGTTGTTGTTGTTGTTGTTGTTTAATAAATAAGATGAAAAAAATGGCGTAAATTGAATTTTTTAATGAATTAATTTCTCTTTCTCTCTCTTACACGCGTTTTTTTTTTTATTAAAAATTATTAATAATAATAATAAATAATAGAAAATGAAAATAAAAAAAAATGTCTACGTTTTTCCACGTAGATGTTGTTTCGTAATAAATAAAATTAATTAAAATAATATTTTTAATATTCGATATATCGAACGTATATAAACGATATATCGAAAATTGTCCGTCAAAACAACAACAACAACAGCAGGACTCGATTTTTAAAAAAAAAATTTTATTTATTTTTTTTTTTTATTGTCGGTCGTTTGATTTTTTTTTTTTTTAACGGTTTATTATTATTATTATTATTATTATTATTATTAGCATTATTAATCACGAAATCTGTCGCCGGTTGTTTGTTTGTTGTTTGTTTTGTTTGTTTATTGGAAAAGAAAAAAGTTTCGTTTTTTACGTTAAATTTAAAAAAAAAAAAAATTTTTTTAATTTAATTTAATTTAATTTTTGTCCCCTAAAAAAAAAAAAAAAATATCGTGTGAGTGCGTGCGTGCGTGTGCGTGTGTGTGTGCGTGTGAGTGTGTAACAAAGAAGGAAAAAAAAAAAAAATCGTAATCAATGAATTTTCATGAGGATTACGTGACGGGTAAAAATGTTTTTTTTTTTCATTTTCATTTCGCAGATGCTGAAAATTTTGTCATTTTTTTCAATAATTTTTGGGGATGAAAATTAAAAATAAAAACCCTTTTTATAGTTTTTCACCCTTTTTGCCCCAAAAAATAAAAATTTTTTTTTTTTTTTCACAAAAACCTTTTTCAACTTGATTTACTTTTATTCGCATAATAACCCCCGCGCATACGTGAGTGCGTGCGTGTGCGTGAGTGCGCGTGTTTTGTGTGTGTTTTGACGTGACGCGTGACTCATTTTTTCAGATTAAATCCGAATTTTGTAATTTTTTTGCATTTTTTTTTTCCTTTTTTTTCCTTTTTTTTGTTTCTTTTTACCCTCTCGGAGACTCTCCTTAACCACCCTTTTATTCTCTGCCAAGGGGGGAGGGGGGGCAAAAGCATTTTTATTATTTATGTCATTTTCATAGTTTTTATTTGTAATTTTTGAAATCGTTTTTCTTTTATTATTAACTAAAAAAAAAAAAAAAAAAATTACCGACGACGGCTGCATTTAATTTATTATATAAATTTTTTTTTTTTTTTTGATTTCTTTCTGAACAAAAAAACAAAAAAAAATAAGGGTTGTTATTATTATTATCATCATCATTACTACCCCTTTGAAAAAAATGAAAATTTTTCAAAATTTTTTTTTTGATTTGATTTTGTAATTCAATTTATAAAAGAAAAAAAATACGTTAATATTATTATTATTATTATTAAATATGAAAAAAAAAACATTTTCGAATTGAATAAGTTATAAATAAATAAATAAATGAAAATAATAATAATAATAATAATAATAATAAAATGACCGGTCATTATAGGATATTGATTGGTTTTGTCCAATGGGTTACATAAAAGAAAAGTTTTTTTTTTTCCTCCCTCTCTCTTTCTCTCCCTTCCACCCTTCCGCCCTCCCTTCCTTCCTTCCGCTTTTCCGGCCCCCTCCGGGCCCCCACCCCCGTTTGTTAAATGATTGGGCGCATGTTATTCATTTTATCCAATCATAACTAATTTTTTTTTTTTCAATCATAACGTTTTATTCCTTTTGTGCGAAAGAATCAAAAAAAAAAAAAAAATGCGTGTAAATGTGTGTGGGTGCGCGTGAAAATTATTATTATTATTTTCGATTCTAAAGTGATTAACAAACAAACAAACAAGCAAACAAACGATTAAAAGTTTTTGATAAAAAATTCAAGGTATTATTATTCAAACGCGTAATCGTAAAAAAAAACGTTTTTCGGGAGATGAAAGAGAGAGAGAGAGAAAGGGGGATTGGGAAAGGGGGAGGGGGAAGCGGGCAAAGGGTTCCGATTGTGGAAAGGGAAGGAAGGTAGGGGTGAAAGAAGAAGTAGGTCGGGTGAAGGGTAAAGGAAAAGGAAAAAACAAAGGCAACAAGTGAATGTGGAAAAACACCTGTAACCGCAACGGGGAGCCCAATTTTCACATGGCGTGACATTAAATTTTACCCCTTAAAAAACAAAATCCTTTCCTTTCCTTTCCTTTCCTTATTTTGCATTTTCCAGGTGCGGAGTTTATTATTATTATTATTATAACGAGTAGAAAAAAAATATAAAAAAATTTTCTTTTAAAAAAACGAATATATAAATATATTTTTATATAAAAAAAAAAAAATAATAATAATATGATATAATATATATTACGCAAAGAAAATATAAATGTCGTCATCATCATCATCTTCATCATTATTATTATCATTATATTCGGGAACGTTGACGCGAGCCTTATAAATATATTTTTTTTTTTAAATCTGATTTTCCGCCAAAAAAAAAAAAAAGAAAAAAATTTTCAATTTTTGAAATACGTTTCTCTCTCTCTTTCAATTTTTCTTTCTTTCGGCCCCCTCCCTCCCCCATCTCTCCCCACGCTCTCTCTCGCGTATATTTCGCAGCAGAGGAAAAAAAAAAAAAAATACAAATGATTGTTAGGAGACCATGGGTTAAAAATTTTTATCGACCCACTCACTCACTCACTTGCCTCCCCTGTCCAGCTTTACATCCCTCTCCTCCCCCCGTAACCTTTACTCTCTCCTTCCCCTTTTCTTTTTTTCACCCTCATTCACAATGAAATGACGGTAGAAAAAAAAAAAAAAATGAAACTATGGAAGAAAAGAAAGAGGAAGGAGAAGTGGTGGCGGTGGTGGTGGTGGTAGTTATGATGTTGGTGGTGGTAGTAGTAGTAGTAGTCGGAGTGAGAGGTTGAAAGTGGAAGAAAAAAAAAAAAAAGGAAAATGGAGGAGGAAAAAAAAAAGAAAGAAAGGACTGGAACTGGAACTGGAAGGGGAGATGGAGGGTTTAAAAAGCCTACAAAAACTTAAAAACTAGAGAAAAATAAAATAAAAAAAAATAAAATAAAATAAAAAAAAAAAATATATATATATATATATATATATATGAAATATTATTAAAACTTATTATAAGATAAGCTAAGTTAGAATGAATATATTCATCTATTGATTCTCTTTTCTTTCTTTTTTTTTCCTTTTTTTTCCCCCCATTTTTTTTTTTTTTTTTTCAACTGTAATTTCCACACTTTATTGATTTTTAGATTCCGAGGTTTTTATCTCTGTTTTTATATTTTTAATGGTTTTATTAGAAATTTGAAAAATTGATTAAATTTTATACATACGCTTTGTTTTGATAAAAGCTTTTCTCTTTTTTTTTTTTCCCCCTATGATTTTCCTTCTCTCTCTCTCTCTCTCTCTCTCTCTCTCTCTCTCTCTTTTGTTGTTGTGTGTGTGTTTTTTTTCCATGTATTTTGTTATCAAAAAGCTTTTTTTTTTTTTTATCAAGAAAAAAAACCAAAACATATGACAATATGATTTTTTCATAAAAATTTTAACTCTAAATAAAATTATTATTATTATTAATAGAAATCTGGCAGTTTAAAAAAAAAATTTTTTTATCCCAACAAACAAACAAACAGACAGACAAAAGGAAAAAAAAAGGAAAAACCTGGGATTTGCGAATAGAATTTTAATTTTTTTTTTTTTTTTTTTTTTTTTTTTATTGACAGCTGCTTCGTAATTTGTGCTTTGATTTTTTTTTTTATTTTATTTTATATTTTTTTTTTTTCTTCCCCTTAATAAATTTTATCGATTTCAAATTTAAAATATTGTCCCAGGGATCAGGGCCAGATAAGGGCTCAACTTGAGGGTCGACGTTTTGCTTTTGCGGGGTAGTCGCCATATTAACATTTCAATGATAACAACTTTTTCCTTTTTTTTTTTTTTTGTATAAAATTCGGGAAAAATTTTTTTGTCAATTTTTAACTTAAATCCTTATTTTTGGGGTGGTTGTTATTCCCTAAAAATTTTCAACCCCCATCACCGGATTCATCATCATCATCACCATCATCACCCTCGTATTTTACAAGAAATAAAAATTTAATTTTTTTTTCCTTTTTCCTTTTTTTTTTAACTTTTTTTTTTTCAAAAAAAAATTATTATTATTATTGTTTAATTTTCAGGTTCACGACGCAGCCTTGATGGTTGTTAAAAACGTTAAAAAGTCCATTAAGAATAATGGACAATTTAAAGAATGTAACCGTATTAGATGTGGCGGAACCTAAAATCGTATTCGATATAAAAAACAAAGAAATAGATGAAGAAAATGATGATAAAATTTGGAAAAGGAAAACGGAAAATTGGAACGTAATTAATTTAAAACGTTCTTACGAAGATGACTCGATGAATTCGAAAAAGAGAAGAAAACAATTGAAACCGATTAAAATAGATATGACAAATTTTGATGATATGGTTCAAGTTCCTAAAAAAATCATAGGCCTCTATAACAATGTTGTAGGTAACGTAGATGATTTACCGGACTCAGTGCCTAATATAAATAATACAAAATATATAAGAAAAAATAATAATAAAAATTTAATATTACCACGTGACGTTGATTTTATGGCGACAACAACTACGACCGCGACAATAGGTACGACGACCATAATGTCTTCTCCAAAATCAGAAGATGAAGAAGATGAAGATGAATTATTAAACGAAGAAAAAATGTTTTCAATGTCGGTCGATAAAAACGATATAAATGTTCCTAATATTGATACGGGACCAAAATTTTTAACAAATCCACATTTTATGTTTCCATTGTCATTTCAAACGATGACAAATTCAAATAATTATTTTACAGAAGCCAATTTGAAAATATTCAATCAGGAAGCTTATTGCGAACTATGTAAAAAAGAATTTTGTAACAAATATTTTTTAAAAACACACAAAGCAAATAAACATGGGATATATACGGACGTACTACCAATGATTCCACCTGTTAATAAAATCAATATGAAAATCGAAGGCAAAGATGACGGAACTACAATGAAATCATTTGAAAATGGTGGAGAAATGGGAGAAGAAACGGGAGACTGCACACAAACTGCCTTCTGCGATATTTGCAACAAAAAATTTTGCAATAAGTATTTTGTTAAAAAGCACAAAAATAAATGTCACGGTACGAACGAGGATGATGATATCCATGGATTATTACACCCGTGTCATAAAGAAATCCATACAAAATTAGTACAAAATATTTCAAACGATAGTACAAAAGAAACCGATAGTACCTTAATTATGATTAAACCCTTGGCTCTCACGTCTTCAAAAAAAGAAGAAAATGATGATGAATCAGACAATCACGATGATGGGAAAAAAGAAAATGCGGATGATGAACAATTGAGTCCATTGAATTTAATTATGAGCGGAAAAGAAACAAGACAAAAAAAACAAGAATCCGTCGTTGATGATTTAAAAAAAGAAGAAGAAGTGATTTCTTCTGATGATGACATAGGCGAGAAAAACGATGGTAACGGTGAGGAGGACAACGACGATGATGATGATGACCAAGACGATGACGATGAGGAAAACGACAATGATGATGAGTGTTCGAGTGAAAACATAGAAAAGTTACAAACTATGCTTTTAAGACTAAATCCGTCCGATATAGAAAGCAGCAAAACGTGCAAAGTTTGTAATGATGTAATTGATAATTCCGACGACCAACAGCATAAATGCAACAGCATTCATTTGGAAAACAACAGAGAAAAAATAAATTCATCCGAGACGAACGAGAGTTCGAACGATTCGAAAATCGAATTCGAAACTGCCAAAATGGAAAATCAAGATTATTTTTTCATTAATCGATATAATAATTTAAAACAAATGAAACCGACGAGTAGTTATTGCGAGATATGCAACAAAGAATTGTGTAACAAATATTTCATGAGGACACACATGCAAAGAATGCACGGAATCGAAATCGAACATGGTGCCCAAATCGGCGGTGTCGTTTGTAACATTTGTAACAAAGAATTATGCAGCAAATATTTTTTAAGAGTACACAAGCAAAACACTCACGGTATAATGAGTCCGAATTCAATTCTCGGTCCGTCCACATCCGGAAACGTGTCAAATCAAAGAATAGAAACCATTAAACCGACGCGAGGAGATTCAAAATTAACACAGAGTTTAACTCAAGCATGTTACATATGTAATAAAAGATTTCGAAGTCCGAAATGGCTTCAGGCACATTTTGCTAGCGACCATAGAGAAGAAACAACCAACACCACCATCACCATCACGACCACGACCGGAAAAACAGAATCAAACGATTCAGCAGAAGGAAATTCGAAGGAAGAACAATTCGGATCGTCATCATCATCGTCGTTGCCTACATCCAAAGACAATAATCATTCGAGTGATACCGGAGTTAAGTTAAAAGATAATCCTCCGGAAGGTTTGGACGTTATATCGAAAATATTTTGGGAAAACGATTCAGCATCGAAAACTTTTAACTGTTCTCGGTGTCCTTTCACTACTTCCGTTCTTGCATTTTTATTCGTACACGAAAGATCACATTTTGTTTTATCCCAAGATCCGTCTGATTCTTCTTCTACTACAACAACAACAACAACTACTACTAAATCATCATCATCATTAGCAACTTCAGCATCATCTCTACAGAATTTAATACGAGATAAAGCATTTTGGCAACACAAAATAACTCAGGAATTACCAGAGTGTTTAGATTTATCCGGAACCAAATCCAAATACGTTAGATTAGAACAAAATGGAAGCTAGCGTCACCTACGTTATCGCGCGCGCGTGTGTTTCTTCTTTTTTTATTTTTATATTTTAATTATTTTTTATAAATACGAGAAGACGATTCACGCATCAATATTATGCTATCATCATCATCATCATTACTATTATTTTTTCGGTTAATAAATAAATATATAAATAAAAATTTCCTTTGCCAAGTGTTTCAAAACTTTTTTTTCGTGTTAATTTCTGTAGAGTTTTTTGAAACAATGATGGCAGCACCGTCGCATTTTTTTTTCGGCCAAAAAAACAAATATATATATATAAATAAATGATTATAAAATATTTTTATAAAACAAAAACAAATTATTATTATTATTATTATTAATATTATTATTATTAAGCCCAATTAAGTAAATGTAAAAAAAAGAAACTGTAAAACCCGATAAACTTCTATAAAATTTTTTTTTGTTCCTAAGTAAAAAAATAATAAAAAAAAAAAAAACAAAAAAAAAAAAAAAACGTTTTTTAGTCTATAAAGTATTAAAAAAAAAAAAAAAAAATGTAAAATAAACATTTTATTTAAAATTCTATATATATATTATTTTATCGTATAAGTTTAGATAAAAAGGTTATTATTTATTGTATATGTATAAATATATATATATATATATATATATATATATATATATATATATATACATTAATGAGAAAAATAATAATAATAATAATATAATAAACGCCTATATGGGGAAGCAAAAATGTTTTTTTTTTTTTTGCTCTCCGAATAATTTTTAAACTCAGGGAAAAATTATGTCTTTTCATTTATTTATTTATTTAATTATTTAAAAAAAAATAAAATTATATTTCTAGTCTGCTTTAAATTAAAATTATTATTATTATTATTATGGTTTATTTTTATTTAAATTGTTTTTAAATAATAAATATACGTCCATAACAAATGTGTATATAAATATTTTACCATATTTTTTTTTTTTTTTTTTAAAATGTCTACCTCATTTTAAACAGCAGACGATTAATAAACGTCGCCATTTTGATTTAACGGAAAAATTTTAAGTCACGTGATTGAAATAATAAGAATATAAATGAATGAGAAAGTTGTTTAACATTTTTAAACTTTTATTTATTTTTTATGTTTTCAGTGGTTTTCTTTTTAATTATTATTATTATTATTATTATTATTATTAATAATGTAATATTGTTTATAAATAAATAAAATAAGCAGACGTGAAAAATAAAAATAATTTTATTTATAAAAAGAGACACAAGGTTTATTTATATATATTTTTTTCTTTAAATTATTATCATTATTAATTACAATTATATTGTAAAATGTATAATAATGTTATTTAGACACACACACGCGCACATACACACACAGAGAAACGCACCCCATCATTGTATTTATATATATATATATATATATATAAAAAATAAGTGATAATATTTATTATATATTTTGTGCTTTATTATCTTATCCAGTGGTCTTTTCTTATTACGGGTATTTTTATTTTATTTTATCTTTTATTTTTTAATAAATAAATAATTGATTGATTTTTTTTTTAAATATTGATTATTGTTGTAAATTTTACCTTATTGATGTTATTATTATTATTATTATTAAAGAAAAGAGAAATTTTTTTTCCTTCCCCCCTTTTACTCCTTTATATTTATTCATTTATTATTATTAATAATAGTAATAATTATCAATTAATTGTATAAAAAAAAAATAATTTTTTTTGTTAAAATGTAAAAATAAGTTTTTTCCTTTTTTTTTTTTTGTGTTAAAATAATTTAAATTTAATTTCAATTTATTTATTAAAAAAAAGTAGTTTGTATTTATTTATTTATTGTAAATTATTAATCATCGCCTTGAGTCTTTTATATATATATATATAAAGTTTTTTTTTTTTAAATTCAAAAATTAAAAAATAAAATTTAAATTGTGGCCTGATTAATAATAATAATGATAATGATAATAATGATAATATTACATAACTTCTAATAACGTTTTTTAATAAAATAAAATAAATAAATAAATAAATTTTTTCTTCCAAAATTTAAATTTATTTATTTGATTTTTTTCTCTCTCACTATTATTATTATCATTGTCATTATTATTATTATTATTTAAATTTTAAAAGCGACATGATTTTGTGTATTGGAAGTTTTATTATTATTATTATTAAAATTTTTTTATTTTTAATTTTTTTAATAAATAAATAAATGAAAAAAATAAAAATGTAATTCAATCAGGCAATCTCGTGAATAATTTTTAATGTCCACGTTTTGAATTATTATTATTATTGTTATTTATTATTATTATTATTATATTATTATTATTATTATTATTAATTATTCAGTCAAATAATAAAAAAAAAATGGCTGTGAATTATCAGCTTGTAACACAAAAAATACAAAAAAAAATTTAGGAGAGTTAAACCCAAACCTTATTATTATTATTATTATTTAAAAAAAAAAATTTAATATCACACTTTCTCTCTCTCTCTCTCTCTCTCTCTTCTTGCTTTTGTATTTTAACATTAATAAAATAAATAAATAATAATAATAATGATAAAATCACCAGAAATCAGAATGTATCAATGTAAACCCGGTTCCCCCCCTTTTTCCCCTTCACCGTCGTTTTAATAAACCGCAAAAATTAAAAAAAAATTATATAAATAAATAAAATATTAATAATAATAATAATTAATTAATGCCTTTAATAATAATAATAATAATAAAACAATTTTATATAATCTGATTGTGATTACAAATTAATTGATTTTAATGATTTTAATGATTTTTTTTTATTATTATTAACTGAAATATTTTTATAAATAAAATTTAATTGATTAATTAATTATGTATTATAAATAAATAAGTAAAATTTAGCGATTTATCATTAATAAAAAAATAAATAAATAAAAAAGGAAAATTTTATATATATAAAATAAATTTATATGCTTTTCTTATTAACTTTTAAATAATTACGATATGTATATTAATAGAAAAAAAAAAATTATTTTTTTACAATAAAAATAGTGAAAACTCGATATTTCATAAAAATATATTAAACAAATAATAATAATAATAATAATAATAATAATAATAATTATGTATATTATAAATAATGATAATAATAAAAGAAAGAAAGGCAGACAGACAGATAAACACACACACACACGAGTGAGTGAGTGATTATTAACACATTAAATTATTATTATTATTATGTAATTATTTAATTTATTTATTATATTTATATAAAAATAAATCCATTATTATTATTATTATCGATTTGTGTGCGAGTTTATTTATTTATTATTAAAAAAGGACCAAACAAAAAAAGAACAAGAAAACAAATTTAAATTTTATTGTTTTTATTTTTTTCTTCATTTTGATGAATGTTATTAATAAATAGAATTTACAAAAATAAAAAAAATTAATGTCAAAATAAATAATAATTAAATCAAATTCTCTGATAATATTTTACTTAAAATTTTATTATTATTATTATTATTTTAATATTGATAAGAATTTTTTTTACAATAAGGCAATGCCAGCATTGCACCTTTTTTTTACCAAATTTAAATTTTTTTCTGTGTGTTGACTTATATAAAAAATACACCGGAAATACATAAAACAATATGTGTTTGTTGTTTCCGCATACATTTGTTGAATAAAAAAAAAAAGGAAAACGCTGGCTTTGAAAATGTTTTTATTATTTTCACTACAATTCAATTTTTTTAAAAATATAAAATGTATAAAAAAAGAAAAAAATGGTACGAAAATGTTTCAATAGTCAGTCTTAATTAAATTAAAAAAATAATAAAAAATTTTTGTTATAATAATAATCGCCAGCTCTTCATATTATATTTCTTTTACTTTAAAAAAAAAAAAAAAAAAAACTTACAAAATTTATTAAAAAAAACATTTAAAGCCACAAAATTATTATTTTTTCAATCAATCAATCAATCAAAGAATAATCGATTGAAAAAATAATAATATTTTTTTATATGTCTCACACTCATTTTAGAATCATCATCATCATTATTTTTTGTTAACATAAGGCATTTTTTCAATGTTTTTAAGTAAAAAAAAAAAAATTGTTTATATCATCTTCCATATTGAAAACAACAACATTTGATATAATCCATTTATTTATTTAGTTATTTTATTGTTTTTTGTTATAAATGATTATTTAATTTCTTCTAAGTTGTTACATACGTCTATATTTATCATCTAAACATCCAGGAACCTATAAAACACACACAACCTAAATCTTATATTTAATTTTATTTACATCAAATTTTTTTACATAATTTTTAAGGACATTTTGAGGAGTGTCGTCCTTGTTTTCAAACAGTGAATGTGATTCATTTAATTATGGAAACGCTCGTACATTTTGATACAACACTTACTCTTGGTTTTGGTCTGTGCGTATCCACCGCATCAACCCCTAATTCGATAAGATCGACCCTGCATCCGTAAGCAACGGGAGTGAGTTTCATGACCGTGTGTAAAGGTACCTAAAAAATAATTTATCAAATGTAAATACGTAGGGGAGGGGGGGGGGAGAGAAATGTAAAAATACGGCTAGTGATACTCACTCTCAGGTAGGGTAACTCTTCAGAATTTTTATCTAAAAAATATGCCAATAAACACCTGAGAACGGCCTGATGACTCACGACTAAAACGTTGCCTTGTCTTTCTAATTCCATTATAACCGGTTCTAATCTAGCAACTAAATCTTCGTATGATTCTCCCCGAGGATACCTGTATGTAAATTTGTTTTCGTCTCTTGCAGCAAAATCTTCCGGAAATTTCGATGCTATTTCTTCGTAAGTCATTTCTTCGCATATACCCTAGTTGTAAAAAAATTTGATCGGTTTGAAATTGTCCTTTTCCCCCTCCTCCCCCACTTTGAATCTTTTATTTAAAAAAAAAACTTCTTACGGCATCGATTTCGTTTAGAGCTTTCCACCTTTCCTGTGGCGCAGGAACGTTAGCAACTGTTTGTATGGTCCTTTTCAACCAAGATGTCCAAACTCTTAGTCCACAAATATCTTGTTCTGCTATGTATTTAGCCAAGGCATTTGCATATTGTCTTCCACGAGGACTCTTGTACGAAAATTTACAAAAATTTTTATTAAAAAGGACATCGGATAAACTTTGTAAGTTATACGGTGTTGTTCTTCCTTACCAAATCCGCATCTCCACCGATTCTACCTTCTAAATTCTGTTCGCTTTCACCGTGTCTCGTTAAATATATCGTTCTGGGTACTATGTGAATATTCATTAAGTAATAAACTATTCGACTTTGTATGTGACCTTCATGTTTATGTACGACGACTTTTTCACCTTGTACAGAAATATCACAATTGATTTCTTTTGGAAGGACATCACTCAGGTATTTATTAAGGAATACGTACCTGTATTATAAATTTTCATAAAACTCAAAGACGATTCTTGAGTTTCGTCTAAAGGCTCATATTTTTCCTGATAATGTTCGATTCTTTTAAGGAAATCTTTTAGAGCAATATCCGTTGGCATGTTTGCATAATCCGGACTGCTCACTTTAACTTCCTACAACAACAAAAAAAAAAAAATAATAATAATTTTTCACCCGAAACTTTTATAACATTTCCCTCCCTCCCCCCCTCCTCCTCCCCCTCCCCACCAAAAAAAATCAATTCTTACCATGATATTTTGTTCGATTATTTCGGGATCGTCGCAAACGGATTCGACGAAAAATAATTTATAATTAAGTTTACAAACGACAAAATCGTGTATCATTTTTCTCCTTTCCATGGTCGAATTAGTCGCATCGAACACCTAAAAAAAAAAAACCTGGAGAAAATCAATTACGGAAACAAAAAAACGAAAAAAAAAACGAAAAACGAGTTTGCAGATTAAATGAGGAGGCGATCGATCAATTATTATTTTTCATTCGAAGGCTATCTGATCAATAAGTTTAATGGACGGGTCAATAAATAAGTGAGAAGAGGGGGGGGCGGGGCGGGGGCAAAATGATAACAATTTTTTTTTTTTTTTTTTTTTAAAATGATCCAACGGTTTATAAAAATAAATAATATATATTAATACTTACGGCTACTTCTCCGCCATTTTCTAACCACTTGCAAACGTCTTTAAGTGCTTCTTTGCAACATTGCGTTCTTATGGCCATGGCTTCTAAATTGTCCTGCCTAAAAAATTCGTGAGATTTATAAGCACTCGTGGCATGCCTTCTGTATTCTCCTAAATTGAAAACTAAAAACAACATATTTTTTCCTTTTTTAAAAAAAAAAAATTACCATTATAATTTAATACTCGGTTCGAGTTTTTCTTTCGTTTACTTCATATATATATATATACATATGTTATCACAATGCAATTATTTTGGTAGTTGGAGGCTTAATAATAGTAAAAAAAAAAAAAATGTCAGAGTTTTAAGCGAACTTTAAACATAAACTATATATAACTTACCTTTTGTATTTATCCCGATCCAATTTAAATATCTGGATAGTTTTTTAGATATGTAAGTTTTCCCACGGGCGGGAAGACCAACCATTGCGATCACATGAGGACTGTTGACGTAATTAACACGCTCACCTGAAATGACAAAATTAAATTTTTTTTTTTTTTTTTTACGAACGTAAAATGAAAAGAAAATTTTTTTTTTTTTTTTTTAATGACACCTTTACGTAGTATACACATATAATACGTTTTCTATCGATTTTCCATTCTTCTCACCTATTCGAATGGATTTTTTCCGAAATAAATCATTAGATTTTCCATAATTTTTGTCTCGATACATTGTCCCAAAACGGTTGTTGCTTAACCCGATTTTCCCTTTTTCCTGTATACAAAGAGTTTTACTTTTTTTTTTTTGCCAATATTTGAAAATATTATCACCGTATTAGACTATTGTTTTTTTTTTTTTTTTTTTTCAAATGAAAACAACTAAGATAATCGCGTAAAACGACATGCGCAACAAACTGAAATCAAAGATAAAATTTTATTAAATATCCACTTAAAGGAAATTAATTACAAGGTTAAGCAGACAACTTTATCGACTTCCGCCAAAATATTTTTCGCCTATCCTAAATTTAATGTATTTAAAAAAACTCTCTCTCTCTCTCTTTCTCTCTTTCTCTCTGTCACTCTCATTAATTAAATTAAAATTTAATTTTTTTTTTTTTTGGCTTTCCTATTCAAAGGGATTGTATAGTTTTGCGTTCTAAAGGATAAACATATATATATTTTATGAATGAAATAAAAAAAAAAATTAATGATAATAGTAAGAGTTTTTTCCATCATGCAATTTTTAGAACAACCAAGGGCAATACAAACATGGTGTGTAGGAAAGTAAAAAAATTACTTAACGTTAAAGTTATTGAACTGACAAATGCAATAATTAACAACTTTCTAAAACAACAAATCAGACCAGATTAAATTAATTAAGACATATATATATTGTTGTGAACGTTTTTCTATGTTTGTTTTGAGAATGGATTATTACGATAATGTTTATCACTCACTTGGTGGATAACACCGAGTAACCTGGTAACCGTCACTTTCACTAACACAACCCGTAATAAGATGGAACGTTCGTTCACAGGACACAATGGAACCGAAAAGAACTTCTCCCGTTGTGTCCTGCTTCCTTTTATAAATGGAACTATGAAATGAATAACTATGTTTGTAAACAAACAGAAGGATAAGTCTAGAGGCTTCTGCTTCATAATAATAAACACTTGGTAACCATAGTTACAATGTTATTATTTATAAATAATATAAAATTATAAACATTTCCTCACAACAATATATATAAATAAATTATAACAACAACCGTGAATAATTACGAAACCGTTAAAAATTATTATTATTGAATCAGCACACAATATTAAATTAGATAGATAGATAGATGCAAAGCAATAGTATACAACAAACGGATTTTCATGCACTAATTATTTTAATTATGTGATATATACACCAATGGATTAAACCAATTTTAATGACGTGTATATTTTTTTTTTTATATTTTATTTAAAAATGAAAATTTGATTCTGTGAGCTGTGATAACAAAAATAATATACTGACAAGTAAATTTCAATACAAAGCAGTAATTAAATAGAACGGCCACAACGTTTAGAGGGATACATTCAGTGGCAAACAAAAAAAAAAAAAAAAAAAAATTTAAATTCTCTAACCTAAAAAAAAACAACAAGTTATTTATTATTTGGCAATAGCTTCAACAACTGAGTCAAAAACCCTAGGGCAAACACATTCAGTTTACAACAACAACAACAACAAAAATTTTCAAGGAAGCATTAAGAAACTGGCCAACATAAAATGTCTAGTTCTTTTTTTTGTCAAAATAGTATCAATGTTTTTTTTACAGATTCAAAAAAAAAAA